ATTCTCCCTTCCAACTAGAGCATGGTGGCTATAAAATGAGACACACTTTTCAGCATTTTGGGTTAAGCAGGTTTTTATTTTTATTTTTTAAAGGACAGCTCATAATGTCCCAGCGATGACTTTTCACATGTCAGTCATAGTCATCGTTTCTCATTATGAATTATCTTCCGACAATAAATCTCTCCTCTGCGTAAGCAGACAATGGAAGCATGTGCAACAGAGGGCATGTGAAACAACCGCCGCCTTATCCTTTGTCTAATTGAGCCTAAACAATGCCTGGAGCTTAGTGTGCCGGTTCCTGACATCACACCACCTCTGGAAATGAATCAAGAGACCGAGACTATCAAGCCATCAGCGACATGGAGGCTATCAAAGATGCTTCAAAAATCAAAAGTCTGTCGGCAAAGGAATTAACACTGCAATGGTGCAATTCAAAAGGGAATTAGATAAGCATATGGAGCAGAGGTCCATCAGTGGCTATTAGCCACAAGGTATAGATAGGGGCTCTGGGGCAAGGGATGCTCTGTCTTCTTGGTGCTTGGGGGGGGGTCAACAGTGGGAGGGCTTCTAGTGTCCTGGCCCCACTGGTGGACCTCCTGATGGCACCTGGTATTTCTGGCCACTGTGTGATACAGAGTGTTGGACTGGATGGGCCTTTGGCCTGATCCAACATTGGCTTCTCTTATGTTCTTATGTTCTTACCTGATTAAAGAGTCTATAAAGGTTTATTTAGGAACTAACATACTTGATAGGGGAGAGGAGAGACAGGGTCCTAACTATGTCTCTGGCTGAGAGAGCGAGGGGAATGAATGCGGGATTTCTGAGGAGGAGGAGGAGGAAATTGCCCAAAGAGGAGGAGACAGATAAAGAAGGACACCTCACAGAAGAGAAGGAGCTGTCCTCATCCTATCTGATTGTCTTCTCTCTGCCCCCTTCAGGGTCTTCTTCTCTTCTTGTTTGGTGTCGTGGTTAGGAGCACAGACTCTAATCTGGGAGAATCGGATTCGGTTCCCCGCTCCTCCACATGCAGCTGCTGGTGTGACCTTGGGTCAGTCCCAAGTTCTCTCAGAGCTGCTCTCTCAGGAGTAGTCCTCGAAAGAGCTCTCTCGGCCCCACCGACCTCACAGGGTGTCTGTTGTGGGGAGGGGAAGGGACAGGAGCTTGTAAGCTGCTCTGAGACTCCTTTGGGTAGTGAAGGGCGGGGTATAAATCCAATATCTTCTTCTCCTTCTCCTTTCTCCAAAGTCCTGCTGTTCCTTCAGTGTTTGGAGAGGGAAAGACTAAAACCTCTTATTGGCCATGGAAGGAACCTCTCAAGGGGCTCTTCTTTGGTTCCCAGCCTTCAAGTGGGGCCTGGGGATCTTGCGGCATTACCGCTGAGCTCCAGACGGCAGAGCCCAGTTTCCCTGGAGAGGAAAAAAATGGCTGCTTGAGAAGGTAGGCTCCACAGAATTACAGCTCAGCCGAGTTCCTTCCCCATCCAAAACCTCACCCTCCTCAGGCTTAGGTTGCCAGGTCCCAGGGGTCATTTCATAGAAAGAGAGGTGCAGGAGCTCATTAGCATAGCTCATTTGCATATGCCACACCCCCTGACACCACTGGAAGTGTGTCAGAAGGCAACACCCACCACTCAGGCTCCACTGGACTGTTTTGGATTGCTAGCTATTGGGGGGGAGGGGGAGACGTGCAGATCTGTCCTCGCAGAGGAGGGAGAGCTTGTACCTGAATAAAACTTGGTCTTAAAGATGCCACTGGACTGTTTTGGACTGGGGGAGCTCTGCAACGTACCTGGCTGCTTCTTGCTCTGACGGAGGGCTGCTGGGAGCAGGGGGCGGGGCTTGCTGCATGTGCCCGCCCCCTGAGCTCCTTACTGCCGGAGCTCTGCTCCTGTGCACTCCTGCAGGAAATGACCCCTGCCAGGTCTCCCCTGGCCACTGGTGGGGGGATGGTGGGGAGGGTTACCAACTTCTGGTTGGGAAACTCCTGGAGATTTGGTGGTGGACCCTGGGAAGGACAATGGATCTCGATGGGGTAGCCGTGCCATAGAGCCCACCCTCCGAAGCATCCATTGCCTCTCGAGGAAGTGATCTCTGTAGTCTGGAGATGAGCTGTAATTCCCAGGGGATCCCCTGGAGGCTGGCACCTCTCCCCAAGCTCCACCCTCAAAATCCCCTGAAACTTCCCCACTTGGAGTCGGCGACTCTAGTTACATGTTACCGGATCCTTGCGTTTTGTTGAGCCCTATGCAAGGACTTTGAACCGGGTGTTCGGAGGGAGGTTTTGCTTTGCCCCCTAGGGGTGTAGACACGCCCTTCTCGACTCGAAACCAGGAGGCACGGGCAGAAACGGCTTGCCGCCTTCTCCTCTTGTGATTTCGACTCCTCCGCCGACTGCCCCTCGAAGCTGCTCTTGGATCGATTCGCAAACCGATATTACTTACATGAGTGTGCATACTAGGGCTGCCAAGTCCCCCCGGGGGGTACCACTTCTTCCCACCCCCAGGCCCCCACACAGGCCCTCCTTCCCTTCCCTCGCCCTCCCACCAGCACGTGTCCTTCCCCTGCCCACGTGTAAGCTCTCGCACTGCCCATTCTCACCACTATCTGCAGCCCTTTTCTCAGTGACTCTGGGCAGCGGGTTTAGCTGGGAGCACGGCGGAGAGCTAGCAGCAGGGCTCTTTTGGGGCAGGAACGCACAGGAACGGAGTTCCGGCTGGCTCCCAAATTCGCATACGTTTGGCAACTCTGAGGCCTGGGGGGGCGGGGCCTGTTCAGTTCTGAGGGACCCCCGGCAGACTGCTCCCAGTGGCCCCTCCCCTCTTCTTAGGCCTGCCCCCAGGCGGGAGGCGGAGTATCCCCGCTTTTGTGCGCTCTGGCCCACTCCTGGCCAGTTGGCTCGTGGCGGAAAAGCCCGCCCCCAAACAGACGTCCCCCACACGATGTCGCCGACGCCCTGACGTCGCTTCCAGAAGTGATGTCATTGCGACACTCTACTTTTTGGGCACAACCAGGAGTCATTTCCTGCAGGAGCGCACAGAAGAAGAAGAGGAGGAGATTGGATTTATACCCTGCCCTTCATAATTGAGTGGGGAATCCACAGCGGTGGGCCCTGCCAGAAGCCCCTGGGGCCCCCCCCGGCGGCGACCCCTCCTCAGGGGTATGTTGACTCCAGCCCCGATGGGAGGCACAAAACTCGCACTGGAGGCCCGGTGGAATGTCTTTGTGTGGTTGCCCCGCACAGAGATGTAGCAATGTCCAAATGGAGGTCACAGCAGGGAGCAGTTAAGTCCCTATCACTGCGAGGTGAACAAAATGGCTGAATTCTTTAAAAAAAAAAAAAAAAGGATTCCATACCAGTTGTTGTACATATCTGGACTTCGGAGAAGTCAAGACTGAAGGGATAATATGGATGATATTATACGTTTCCCTCCCATTGGCATGAGTTGCCACTAGTGCACAATCTCAGATCGCAACCAGTAGTTTAGGTAATCTCCAGCTCCTCAAACCCCTGGTTACCAGTGTTCCCCCTAAGCTGAGTTAGTGTGAGCTAGCTCACAGTTTTTTAGCCCCCGGCTCACACCTTTTTGTCTTCGCTCAGGAAGGATGGGCTCCAGAGCAAACTAATTGATGCAGCAGCCAAATCATCCGCTCACAGCTTTAATGCCAGTGGCTCACAAAGTAGGATTTTTGCTCACAAGACTCCACAGCTTAGAGGGAGCATTGCTGGTTACTCCCAGTTCCATATTCTGCCAGCATCATGTCTGGTCTCATTCAGAAAACTGGAGCCAAGAGGTGCCGAGCTTTATCCTCCGCCCGAGTCATACAGCCATTTTGTTTCCATGTACATGTTTACAGGTACTGGTGTTAAACTGTGGCAGCCTGTGTAGTCTAGACCAGCCTGAGCTCACCAGAGCTTGGAAGCTAAGCAGGGTCGGTCACGGTTAATATTTGGATGGGAGACCGCCAAGGAAGTCCAGGGTTGCTGCGCAGAGGCAGGCAATGGCAAAACCCACGTCTGCCCTGACCTGGATGATCCAGGCTAGTCTGATCTCAGAAGCTAAGTAGGGTTGGCCAAGGTGAGTACTTGGATGGGAGGCCACCATTGAAGATCAGGGTTCTATGCAGAGGAAGGCAATGGCAAACCATGGCAAACCACCTCTGCTCATTAGAGCTTGGAAGCTAAGCAGGGTTGGCCAAGGTGAGTACTTGGATGGGAGGCCACCATTGAAGATCAGGGTTCTATGCAGAGGAAGGCAATGGCAAACCATGGCAAACCACCTCTGCTCATTAGAGCTTGGAAGCTAAGCAGGGTCGGCCAAGGTGAGTACTTGGATGGGAGGCCACCATTGAAGATCAGGGTTCTATGCAGAGGAAGGCAATGGCAAACCATGGCAAACCACCTCTGCTCATTAGAGCTTGGAAGCTAAGCAGGGTCGGCCGTGGCTAGTACTCGTATGGAGACCACCAAGGAAGTCCAGGGTTGCTGCGCAGAGGTAGGCAGAGGAAAGCCGTAACCTGGATGACTAAGAAGGGTCAGTTCTAGTTGGTACTTGGATGGGGTAGCACCAAGGAAGTCCAGGGTTGCTACACAGAGGCAGGCAACGGCAAACTGCCTCTGCTCAACTCTCGCTTTGAAAACCCGTGAGGGATTACCGTAAGTCACTTGTGACTTGAAGGAACTTAATTACTATATTATCATTACTACATCCTAGTGCAGGATAAACCAGTGGCGGGAAGATCAGTCTATTACTTCTGCAAACAAATTTGGGCTGGCATTAAGTAATACATTAAGAGTTCTGTTTGTATGTGGGGATTTACTGAGAAATTCCAGGAAATAAACCAATTTTTAAAGAACCTATGACAAAACATAACATCTGTCCAGTTACCACTGCAGGAATGATGTAATTCAGTGTTGGATGCTGTTGACTCATTTTGCAATACAGGAAGCAGGTGAGGTATATATATATACGTACTAAAGCCATCTGTTGACTGGCAGCACCTTCTTGAAGATACTAAGTGCCAGTCCTCCTCAAAAGGGACACGGTAAGAATTCCTTCTTCTTCTTCTGATACGAAAAAAGAGGGTTAGCAGTTCCTAGTTTCAGATGGAAGCCACAGAACAGCTACAATCAAGTCCAGTAGCGCTTTAGAGACCCACAAGATTGGGGGGTCAGGCCTGTAGCCACAAGGGGCCATTTGAAGGCAATGCCCCCTCACGGATGAGTGCCGCCCCCTCAAACAATTTTTTTTAGAAATCTGGGGGGAAATTAAAAAATCAAAAATCTTTTTAAAACCGTAAGATGCATGTGGGTGTTCCAATATGACCCCAGGCACAGGCAGGGAAGCTTCAGTCTCATTTTTTTTCTTTTTTCCAAGCTAAAAGATAAACAATTTTTTAAAAATGCAATAAAATAAAACAAAATAAAATTGCAAAAAATTAAATAGAATTGCAAAATGAAAAATAGAGTCAGAGATCCCCCCCCCGGCTTACACGGAAAAGCAGCCCAAAATTGAGTTTCTCCAATCAAAAGGACTAGAGGAGGACTAGAGGTCACAGTGGAGCCGGAGCTGGTGCTTCTGCTGCTGTAAGAGGAGCAGATTACCTCCAGATTACCCCACACCCCACCAACCAAAATTTTCTGGCTACACCCTGGGGGTGGTATAATTTCAAGAGTCAAAGCTCCTGTTATCAGCCGACTCAAATTCAGCAGTTCATGGACTTAAATTTTGCAGTTCATGGCAGTGATACAACTCCTCTCAGTCATATTGCTAATGCTGTAAGGTCAGTATCACTAGGTAGATCCACAAATGGACTTGTCTTGGTCGCCAGTGTTGACTGCCCCTCCTCGCTCAGATGCTTGGAGCTGGCTCTAAAGTCAAGTGACTTCTCTTTAGATGGAAAATTCCAAATGGTATGGAGGAAGCTGCGCTAGTCCATGGTTGAGGCAAAGTTCTTCAACTGTTCTCCCTTTTTGTCGAATTCCCATAGGGTGGTGGACTTACTGACTTGGAGTTCGGTATCAGTAGTGGTTTGTATAAGAGCAAATAAGCTGAAAGTCAGTCTGGACAAAACAGAGGTGTTCTTGTTGTCAAGTTCTGGCTATTTGAGGAGGTGGTATTCAACTAGCCCCAGACTGGCTGGCACTCCTCTTGAAAGACCAGGTTTGCAGCTTAGGGAGGGGAGATGCTTTTAGATCCAGCCTTGACTGTGGATGTCCAAATGGCATTTGTGGCATAGCCTGCTTATCACTAACTTGGGGGGGGGCGGGGCGGCGGGAATTGTGGCTCAGCAGCAGCGCCTCTGCTTGGCATGCAGAAGGTCCCAGGTTCAATCCCCGGCATCTCCAGTTCAATGGACCAGGCAGGAGGTGATGTGGAAGACCTCCGCCTGAGACCCTGGAAAGCTGCTGCCAGTCTGAGTAGGCAATACTGACCTTGATGGACCGAGGGTCTGATTCAGTATAAGCAGATTCATGGGGAGGGGCTGTGGCTCAGTGGTAGAGCATCTACGTGAGCCTCCTTTGGCAGGGAGGGTAGGTTATAAATCAAATAAATAAATAAAAATAGAGAAGGTCCCAAATTCAATCCCCAGCATCTCCAGCTAAAGGGATCAAGTGGTAGGTGATGCAAAAGACTCCTACCTGAAACCCTAGAGAGCCACGGCCAGCCTGCATAGACAATATCGACCTTGATGGACCAAGGTTCTGATTCAGTAGAATGCAGCTTCATGCATCCCATGTGTCCCAACTTGATTGACGTACCAGCTTGTTCTCCTCCTTGGAAAGAAGGTGACCTTGCCACAATGGTCCATGCTCAGGTTAGACCGTCCCTGTAGATGTGTTGTAGATGGGGCTGTTTTTGGAAACCGTCCGGAAATTCCAGCTTCCTTCCACCACCGTCATTTTTTAATTTAGAAACTCACAATTAGCGCTTGTGAGTAAAGATAGCTGAGCGAGCCTTCCTCTGCAAGGAGACGTTCCAAGCTCCCTACATCCCCCATGACCTTTTTGGTGTGAGCGAATCCAGAGGTTAAGACACCAAGCTGCAGACCATAATGTGTAGCTCGGTAGTTTGAGACCCCTAGTGCCACGTGACAGAGTGAGCTCCCGTCTCTGGCCCCAGCTCCTGCCAGCCTAGCTGTTCAAAAGCAAGAAATGCAAGTAGATAAATACGTACCATTTCAGTAGGAAGGTAACAACCTTCTGTGTGCCACAGCATTTAGTCATGCCAGCCACATGACCATGGAAACATCTTTGGACAGCGCTGGCTCTTCGGCTTGGAAACGGAGATGAGCACCGCCCCCTAGCTTTCGAGCAAGGAAAACCTTTACCTTTTTAAATCCACCAAACAAAAGTAGGTAAACTTTCAAACTTGCCCAAGGCTTTTCATCCGAAGTCTTGTCGTCATGAACTCGTTCAGCTTCCTTCCACCGCCGTCATTTTTAATTTAGAAACTCCCAACTAGCATTTGTGAGTAAAGATAACTGAACGAGCCTCCCCCTGCAAGGAGATATTCCCAGCTTCCTACATCTCCATGACCTTTTTGGTGAGAGCTAATCCAACGAACCAAAGTAGATAAACTTTAAAGCTTGCCTAAGGAGCAGCGGTGGCTCAAGTGGTTAAGATGCTGAACTGCAGGCTGTGGAAGGTCAGTAGTTCAGCAGTTCGAGACCCGAGTGTGCTGCATGACGGAGTGAGCTCCCATCTCTAGTTCCAGCTCCTGCCAACCTAGCAGTTCGAAAGCAAGAAATTGCAAGTAGATAAATAGGTACCACTTTGGTGGGAAGGGAACAGGGTTCCGTGCGCCTTGGTGTTTAGTCATGCTGGCCACATGACCACGGAAACGTCTTCGGACAGCGCTGGCTCTTCGGCTTTGAAACGGAGATGAGCACCGCAACCCTAGAGTTGGACTTGACTGGCTTTCGAGCAAGGGAACCTTTACCTTTACCTTTAAGGCTTTTCATCCTAAATCGTGTCATCCTGAGCTCGCTCATTCCAGCTTCCTTCCACCGCCTTCACTTTTAATTCAGAAACTCACAACTAGTGTTAGTGAGTAAAGATAACTGAATGAGCCTGCCCCCTCAAGACGACGTTCCCAGCTTCCTACATCTCCATGACCTTTTTGGTGAGAGCTAATCCAACGAACCAAAGTAGGTAAATGTTAAAACTTGCCTAAGGCTTTTCATCCGTCGTGAACTCGTTCACTCCAGTCAGGGACAAGGGAAGGGGTGCTCGCCAGAGCATGGAAAAGTAGTCACCGTGGCAATTATTTAAAGAGCCTCGCAGATGACGTGGGCGATTGATGATCCCGTGTCGGTCAGCCACGGAAGCCAAAAAAACCAGAATGTGCTAGACTTCTGTTAGACTTTACAAAGAGAAACGCCGAGTCAACGAAGGTGTCTTTTAACACAGTGGCCAAGGAGGGTACCACCACACACAGAGAGATTTTTTTAGGATTTTGGAGGCTGAGCTGTAGAGGGGCTGGCACTGGAATTATGTTAAGTGGTGTGGCTTTTACCTGCTCACGGAGCTAAGGAACGTGAGGTCCAGGTTGAGGAAGGGGAAAGGTCAAGAGAGAGACCCGAGGGACATATGGTCCGGAGGCCATCTCAAGAACTCAAACCACAACCCAGAATGACAACGCCAGGTTTCAACCGGTCAGTTCTCTAAACAGCAAGACTCAGAGCAAAAAATGTTTTGTGCGCTTTTGTTTTCAGAGATGGCTGCGACGGTCGTGTTGATGATGACTCTCGCTGCCGCGCTGCGACAATCCACCGGACTGGGTTCCAACCCTTTTATCATTCGAGTTGCCCTTTTCTGCACTTTTTCCAAAGCTATAATATCCTTTTTAAGGTGTGGTGACCAGAATTGCACACAGTATTCCAAATGAGGTCGCACCATTGATTTATATAGGGGAATTATGATATTGGCTGATCTGTTTTCAATACCCTTCCTAATAATCCCCAGCATAGCATTGGCCTTTTTTTACTGTAGTCGCACACTGTCTAGACATTTTTTATTGAGTTATCTACTACGACTCCAAGATCTCTCTCTTGGTCAGTCTCTGCCAGTTCGGACCCCATCAATGTGTATTAATAGTTAGGGTTTTTGGCTCCAATGTGCATCACTTTGCACTTGGCCTCGTTCTTAATGTGAGGCAGACAGACCACCAAAACACCAGTTTCGAGGGGAATAAGTGGAGAGGAATGTTAACTTTACTGGTATATGCAGATGTGGGGTTGGATCCAGACAATTTTTCATGCAGTCTTATCCTGTTAACTTCCTTACTACAGCTCCTGCCCTCCCACGTGCATTCACGTGTATTTATCTAATATATTGCTTTAGTCACCCATGAGGATCCAAAGCAGCTTACAAAAAGAACACTTTAAACAAATTCACAAAACACAGAGCTCTTCCTCCTCATTTTCCTCACTTTGTGTCCCTGTTGCTTGGGGGGGGGGGTGTCTTTTTCGTGCTTGTTTGCTTCCTCTAGTGGTCGCTTTGATATTACATCACTGTATGTCCGGCACAAAACCCTGCAGTTTAAAACTACAGGGAGAGATGATGGAAATAAACCCATCTGAGATCGAATTGACCACCAGAGGGAGCCAAAAACATGTGGAAAACGGAAAAAAAGCCCAAAGCAATAGGGCTGCAGAAGTGACAAAGAGACTACAGAAGAGCCCCAAGAGAGGGGAAAATAAAACTGTATCACACGCATTTGCATAAAACAATATCGTCGAAACAGTTTGTAACCATATTCTCAAATGCAAGAGAAATGCTTACATAATGCTCTCTCATTTTAGCGACCTAGCTTGGCTTCTTTGTCGACCCAAAATGCCGGTCAGCAGCAGGAAATTACTGAAAGGCACAATGACCTCCGGAGAAGTGTGAATCCAAGTGCCAGAAACATGCTGAGAATGGTAAGATCGAAGAAGCTAAAGTAACAGATCATTGGTTCATTGACCCATGCTGGAGCCTCACTCTTTGCCCGCGGAAAGAGAGCCTGCTGATGTAGTACTTAAGAGTGGCAGACTCTCATCTGGAGAGCCGGGCTTGCTTCCCCACTCCTCTTCTACATCAAGGCAGTTGGGTGACCTTGGACCAGTCACGGCCCTCTCAGAACTCTCCCAGCCTCCAAAGTAAGTCTAGCTTGCCAACTAGTGGTAAAAAGCTTTCCCTTGCTCGAATGCCAGTCGAATCTGACTCTAGGGGGCGGTGCTCATCTCCGTTTCCAAGCTGAAGAGCCAGCGCTGTCCGAGGACTTCTCCGTGGTCATGTGGCTGGCATGACTGGACGCCGAGGCGCACGGAACGCTGTTACCTTCCCACTGAAGTGGTAAATGTTTCTCTACTTGCAATTTCTTGCTTTCGAACTGCTAGATTGGCAGGAGCTGGGGCCAGAGATGGGAGCTCACTCCGTCACGCGGCACTCGGGTCTCGAACTGTCGAGCTACAGACCTTCCGGTCTGCAGCTTCAGCGTCTTAACCACTTGAGCCATCGCGGCCCCAACCTTGTTACTGCTAAGATCCCTGGTACGCTGAGCTATTTGATGCCACACGCAGTCTCGTGAGTTCTCTTTGTACTGACAGACAAGGATCACAATGAATGTCGCCCATTAAGAGAGCGAGTGATGTATTTTAATGAAGTCCCTGGCACAGAGGCAGAGTCTTTTCTGCCGTACACAGGCATTCCCCATTGACGGGGAAGGATGCTCCTTGGTCACATGCTTGTCTCGTAAGAGTCAGCGGAGGGCGTCGGCCATGCAACTTCGCCTTAAGCAAGCAAGGCTGAGCTGAATAAGAGGCCGTAGGGATTAAGGGACGCAGGTGGCTCAAAACACAAAGGGCTGATTCTGCACTGGCTTTCCCCTCTGTCGTTTTACAAAACCCACCTTGGAATAGAAACCCCCCTCTGCATTGCATGCTGCTTTCGCTTCCTTTGATCATCGGGTTTTACTGTACCTTCTGCATAGATTTATGGCCGTTTTATGGCCATTCAGGGGTGGCTTTGCAGTAAACACAGCATTGCCCTGAGGTATTTGAGTGTGGTTTTGAGCTGCACTTTCCCCTCCCAGTTCAGAAAATGTGGAGTGGATGCTAGATGCAGAATCGCCCAATGATACGCCTCCTCGACTCTTGGATAAATGAACCTTGCGTCCAACACCCCTCGCTTCCTTGTTTTCGGCTTCAGCATTGAGGAAGAAAGACACTCCATAAATGATTCCCCGTCCTCTGTCTATACATGTAGGGGGAGGGAACAAGCAGTCGTCTGAGGAGCAATTAGATGCTCGAGCACTGATTGTTGGCAGAGTAATTAACACAGCAACGGTGCCCAACCTGATTAAAGAGTAGGAACTAACATACTTGATAGGCAAGAGGAGGGACAAAGATAGGTTCCTAACTACATCTCTAGCTCAGAGGTGTATTATCCATAAGGTGGCCGAATTGTGCGCCTTGGGGAGTTCAACAAGGAAGCAGATGGTTAAGTCTTTTTATTAACGACGTCTGTACTATTGAAACCAGCCTGTTACGTGGCTTTCAAATTTCATTGTATGTAGACGTGCCGTGTTTGTCAGTGAATGAGATGAGGACATCACCCGGAGCGTCCGGTGGGAGTTTTGTACCTCCCAAACACATCCGCGCTCTGTATGTATGTCAATCTTGGCTGAGCTCCGATCAGAACAAATAAAGACTGAAAGTACCATGGACATATTACCTTGTGCATATTTACATCAAGCTTTCCAACTGGGTTGTTGATTTTCTTTTCTTTTTTTTCTTCCTTTAGGAATGGAATCCTACAGCCGCGGAGAACGCTAGACGCTGGGCGCAGCAATGTACGCTTAATCACAGCCCACGCGAGAAAAGAACCATCGGTATGTAAAGCTGTCCATATGCACACATTTATTTGTTTGTTTCATTAGACCTATATACCCACACTGTAGGCTCAGGGTGGGTTTGTTTCATTAGATCTATATACCCACACTGTAGGCTCAGGGTGGGTACCAGCATATATACCTGCTATTAATGCAGATTTGCAGGTTATCTGGACACATTTGAATAGTTCACAAAGTTCGGTTAGCTTTCTTCGGCGAACTGTTGACGGGCAACAGCAAAGCCAAGTAGGAGGCTAAAAGGTAGAGAAAGGATGCCATGGAGAGAGAAGGAGACGGGGGGGGGGGCAATAACACCAAGAGCTGAGGAAGAGGAGGCCAGCCGTAAAAGAGAGGGAAAAAGGCGGTCGCAGCAAGAGAGTTTGGAAGAAGAAACCGATGGCGGGAGGAGATAAAGGAGACCAAGTAGGAGTTTATGCTGACTTTATTTCTTGTTTAAAACTGACATTTGTTTCGCTCTTTCAGTCTGGTGTAATGGTTAGGAGCGCGGACTCTAATCTGGGAGAACCGGGTTTGATTCCCCACTCCTCCACATGCAACTGCTGGGGAGTCCTTGGGTCAGTCACAAGTTCTCTCAGAGCTGTTCTCTCAGGAGCAGTTCTTGAAAGAGCCCTCTCAGCCCCACCTGCCTCACAGGGTGTCTGTTGTGGGGAAGGGAAGGGAAAGGAGATTGTAAGCTGCTCTGAGACTCAGAGTGAAGGGTGGGGCAAAAATCCAATCTCCTCCTCCTCCTCTTCTTCAACTGATCAGTAATATAATACATAACACCCCCCCATAAGAAGTGAAGAGAGGAGATGCCATTATCAAGACGAAAACACCCTTTTTCATTAAGTCATTGCTTCTCAGAAAATATCTAATGACGGTCCCCTGTGTGTGAGAGTTTTGTACTGCTGATTTAAGTTTTTTGTAAGCGTTTTCCCCTTTCTCCGCTTGTAGATGGGAAAGTATGCGGTGAAAATCTCTTCATGTCAACCGCGCCTACTTCATGGTCCGAAGCGATTCAGGCTTGGTTTGATGAGGTGAAATACTTCAAGTACGGTTACGGAAGCGTAACGGGCGAGGAAACGGGCCATTACACACAGGTAGCCCCAATGCCGCTTTGCGTCTCCTCTCTTCCCTTTTTTTTTAATTAAATAAAATATTTATACCCTGCCTGTCAGCTGGGTAAGATTGTCAAAAGCATGTTTCAACGGGTTCATCCATAAAGCCATACTTGGGGGTATTTTAAAAAGAGACTGGAATGTGGAGCGAGCCATCAAGTCACAGCTGAGTTATGGCGCCCCCTGGTGGGCTTTTCAAGGCAAGAGACGTCCAGAGGTGGTTTGCCATTGCCTGCCTCCGCATTATCATGACCCTGGTATTCCTTGGAGGTCTCCCTTACCAAACACTTGCGAGGGCCAACCCTGCTTAGCTTCCAAGATCTAACGAGATTGGGCTAGCCTGGAACTCTCTAGGTCAGAGCAAAAAGAGATTAGGCCCGTCTTTTTCAGTTGCAGTGGGTAGTTCTAGAATAGGCTACCGTAAGCTGGACACATTCTTGTGGTAGGCTAAACTGAGCAAGACTAAGCATGTAATGCATAGCAGCCCACTAAGAATACCATTCTTAGATCAGGGCCCTGTGGGACCTTATGCAGTTCTGCAGGGCCTGCAAGACGGAGCTCTTCCGCCAGGCTTTTGAGTAGGAGCCGCCACCATCACTGTACCACCACCGCGCTGCCAATTTTGGCAATGCGAGCTGGCCCTGGAACTGAAGAACAGACATAGCGCAGTCTGATCAAGTAGAGCCAGTAGAACTTTTGAAACATTGTATTAGAGACCCCCATCTTGGATGTTGTTTTGTGAGCAACGACTTTAAATGTAAATGTAAGTGATTGTTTTATCTGGTTTTATTGTTATGTATGGCGATGGCCTCTTGTCAGCTGCCCTGAGCCCATGTGGAAGGGTGGGATATAAGTCAAATAAATAAATTGTTAGGGAAGTGACGGTGGCTCCAGTGGTAAAGCATCGACTTTGCTTGCAGAAGGTCCCAGGTTCAGTCCCTGGCATCATCAGTTTTTTTAAAAAAAGATCAGGTAGTAGATGATTTCAAAGACCGTCACCTGAGATTTTGATAGCGTTGCCGACTCCTAGTTGGGAAGTTTCTGGAGATTTGGGGGTTTATGGGCTCTTTTTGTAGCAGGGACTCCTTTGCATATTAGGCAACACACCCCCTAATGTAGGCAATCCTCCAAGAGCTTACAGTAGCCCCTGTAAGGAGAGCTCTGTAAGCTCTTGGAGGATTGGCTACATTAGGGGTGTGTCGCCTGATATGCAAAGGAGTTCCTGCCACAAAAAGAGCCCTGGGTGACACACCCCTAATGTAGCCAATCCTCCGAGAGCTGACAGTAGCCCCTGTAAGGAGAGCCCTGTAAGCTCTTGGAGGATTGCCTACATTAGTGGTGTGTGCAAAGGAGTTCCTGCTACAAAAAGAGCCCCGGGTGGAGCCTAGGGAGGACGGGACTTGCATAGGGGAGGAAGCTCTACTGGGTCGAATGCTATAGAGTCCACCTTCCAAAGCAGCCATTTTCTTCAGGGGGAATTATCTCTGTAGTCTGGTGACCAGTTGTAATTCCAGGGGATCTCCAGGCCCCACCTGGAGGTTGGGAAGCCTAGTCTTTGGAGAGTCCCCGAGTAGACAATGGTGACCTTGATGGACCAAGGGTCTGATTCGGTATAAGGGAGCTTCATGCATTCATCAACAGTTTCCCAGGGGGGGGGGTTGTTGTTGTCGTGTTTTGGGTTGCTTTGCTCCTTGCACCCGCAAAAACCAGTTGTCAGACGTCACAATATATGCAGCTGGTGCGGTGCCTACAGTTAAGGACATTGCACGGGATTAAAGGGAGGAGGGGAGAAGAATGCTGTAAGCCCTTTTGAGTACTCAGTGGCACTGTTCCCTCTAAGCTGAGTTAGTGTGAACCAGCTCACAGTTTTTTTAGCCTCCGGCTCACACACATTTTTGTCTCGGCTCAGGAAGGGAGGGCTCCAGAGCAAACTAATTTATGCAGGAGCCGAATCGCTCACTCACAACTTTAATGCCAGTAGCTCACGAGGAAGAATTTTTGCTTACAGGACTCCACAGCTTAGAGGGAGCATTGTGAGAAAAGCGGCATGTAAATATCTCAATAAGTAACGAAAGAGGAGTCATCCACGGTCCTGGATCTCACACGAAAGTTCTACTGATGGAAAGGATTTCCACAGGTGGGGCATGGTTTCCCTATATCCCCATGGTATAACCCAATATGCCCCCCAAAATCCTGAGACCCCCAATGACCCCCTGGGCAGGTAAGAAAAGCCACGAGAACTAAGCACTATGCAACCCTTCCTGCCCTCCCTCTCATGATCTGCCTAAGACATAACACAATGTAAAATTGCAGTGACCACTAGAGGGCGCAAAACATATGCAGAACAGGGGGGAAAAACTCTGAAGCAACTGGAACACACAAGAGAGGAAAATATGAATGCAGGGAAGCTGTTTCTGCTCTTTGTCTGCTTCAGCAGTTTCTTCAGACACTCTTGGTCTGCTTACTTAAAATATTTGAAGTTCAGTCCCATTGTAACTGGTCGTTTATATGCTTTAATACCTACAGGTAGTTTGGTATCGGTCCTACCAACTTGGCTGCGCTATCGCCCACTGTCCTTGGAGTAAATTCGCTTACTATTATGTTTGCCATTACTGTCCCGGGTATGTATCAGTGTTTATTTGTAACTTTTCAGAATCAAATCATTGGGAAGGGAAATAGCCTGGCAATTTTATTTGTTTATTTTGTTGTGTTTATTTCGTGGCATACCACAGAGCCTCTATGGTATACCATAGAGACAGAAATGCAAGCCCTAGAGTGTCAACTCTCTGTAGCCACTGTGGAACTTTCCATTCTCCCCTAGACTGTATTGTTCATCCGCGCAAATTGATCTCTGGAATCAGGAGATCAGATGTAACCTTGGACGACAATGCCATGCCAGTGTTCCCTCTAAGCTGAGTCAGTGTGAGCCAGCTCCACAGTTTTTTAGCCTCCGGCTCACACATTTTCGTCTCAGCTCAGGAAGGATGGCTCCAGAGCAAAATAATTGATGCAGTCGCCAAGTCGCTCGCTCACAACTCTAATGCCAGTAGCTCACAAAGTAGTAAGTTTGCTCACAAGACTGCCACAGCTTAGAAGAAGAAGAAGAGATTGGATTTACACCCCACCCTTCACTACCCAAGGGAGTCTCGGAGCGGCTTACAAATTCCTTTCCCTTCCCCTCCCCACAACAGACACCCTGTGAGGTAGGTGGGGTGGAGAGAGCTCTGACAGAAACTGCTCTTTTTCAAGGACAGCTCTTATTAGAGCTAAGGCTTGCCCAAGGTCAGCCAACCAGGTGCAAGTGGAGGAGTGGGGAATCAAACCCGGCTCTCCCAGATTAGAGCCCGCGTACTTAGCCACGACACCAAACTTGCACCCAAGTTTGGGAACACTAATGGGAGAACAGCTCCTGCAGCATGACAGATCTGTAACTACTTGTTTGGGTGCTGTAAAAACAGGCCAACATTCAGGAATGGCAAGGACATTAATAACAATTGGGGGGGGGGGAGAGACACTGGTCGTCTGCGTCGTGAAAAGGAGCCCGGAAGACTTTAACCGGTATCTCTCCATAACTATGAAAATTAGCTGCTGATTATGGCATTGCAGCAAGCATGTCTGCGTCCTTGTTTGTCCCCACGTCGTGACTTCTTGACATCTGTCATTCCAGAGGAAACATCGTGGGCTCGATCAGTACGCCCTACAAAACAGGAAGGCCTTGCGAGGACTGCCCCAACGCTTGCGACAACAAACTCTGCAGTAAGTGCAAAGAGCTTCAGAGAGCACAAACAATATCTTACAGGGTTACCAGCTCCGGGTTGGGAAATACCTGGAGGTTTGGGGGGGGGCCTGAGGAGGGGGGTTTGGGGAGGGAAAGGACCTCAGTGGGGTATAATACCATAGAGTCTACCCTCCAAAGCAGCCGTTTTCTCCCAGGGGATCGTCTCTTGGTTGTCTGGAGAGGAACTGTAATAGCGGGAGATCTCCAGATGTCACCTGGAGGATGGCAACGTAGCTTAGCACAATTCCACTTGGGACAGCGATACCACGATGGGATCATAGAAACTAGGGATCATAGAATCATAGAGTTGGAAGGGATCTCCAGGGTCATCTAGTCCAACCCCCTGCACAATGCAGGAAATTCACAGATACCTCCCCTTCCACCCCCCCAGTGACCCCCACCAGTCCCCAGGCGGGGGCGGGGGATTCCCCGATTTCACGGGCTCTTCCCCACCTCCAAGAACGTGACTGAATTAGGCGTGATATGCAGAGAGGTAGCAGGCACATCACACCTAATCCAATCACGCCTGCAATTGCCATTTGCCTGCTGATGTCATTCAGCATCTGAAAGCACTCCACTTCCCGATATATAGGACAGGTGGACTCACATTCTAGCTGTATCCGAAGAAGTGAGCAAAGTGACTCACGAAAACTCATACCCTTTCCACACATTTTTGTTAGTCTTTAAGATGCTGCTGGATTCTTACTCTTTCCTACTGCTACAGGCAGACTAACACGGCTGCCCATCTTCATATGCTTCATATGCATGACGTTATGCGACGCCCATTCAGAAGTTGTACTGATTCAAAGTCGTAAAGGTGTCATTCGAATGCCCTGTAATATTTAGGATCCAAGGAACCAGGAGATTGCTTGAAGACGCAGAACAAAGTTCGGGTCCGGTGGGTACCTTTAAGACCAACAAAGTTTTATTCGAGGTATAAACTTCCATGTGTACGCACACTTCTTCAGATACAGGTGCCCCTGGACTCGAACTCTGTTCTGCTGCTTCGGACCAACACGGCTACCCCACCTGAATCTTGCTTGAAGAGGTTTTGCTTTTATTAACCCCTGACCTTTCCTTTCCAGCCAATCCTTGCAAACATAACAACATCTATAGCAACTGTCCGGATTTAGCACGTTCTCACGGATGCGACCATCCAGACGTGAAGGAGTGGTGTAAAGCTTCTTGCCAGTGCAAGACCGAAATCATATAGCACGCCGGCTCGACAGACATTCTCTCTCCTTTGCTGAAGAAGACACCCTTTGCATTAAAAACCATGCCGTCTTTCCGCGCATCGTAGGCCAAACAGATGATTCAATTCATCTGAAATTTGCAAATGTGTTTCCGGCATTGAAAAGCCATGGAGTTCTTAGTAAGGATGTATGAAAAAAGAGAGAGAAATTTTCGGGCAGGGAAAGTAGACTGAGACATGTAATAGGTCACTAGAGACAGGACACACACAAACACACACACACACAATTCCAAAAAGACAACTCAACAACAATAGGAAATTCAAAACCAATGTGGCAACTTCGATGGACATACCCGGGTAATTCTACTGCACCCACCAATCAGGAGGTTGTGGACCAATGGCCATTTCTGGACTGACAGGTTGCTCCAGGGAATCTGAGGAATCGAGCCTTAAGGGTTGACATTGCAGTCGCACACATTCTCTGTGTATTCTGTATGCATTCTGCATCTACAAGCAAGGCCCACATTTTTTAACTCACTGGCTGCCAACCCCACCCTCCCTCCGTAATTCTGCAAAAAGAAAGGGAAGGGAGGGAGAAATCCAGACCCACACACATAATACTGAAACATTTGGAAGCAGGGAATCCCCTCGTTTTTATATTTATTGATTCCTTCTTATGCTCTCTCTGGCTTTTTAAAGTTTGCCTGAGCAAGAGGACAGGTCCTCTTTTGTCTTTGGAGAAGGAGGGAAACAAAACAGAACAGGGAGGGAGCATCAGCCTAAAGAGAGAGAGGTGGAAACGGGGGAGGGGCAGCGGGCAGCACTTAAATACCCACGGAAACAATTCTACTTTAGAGACGAGTAGCGATTCGAAAGCGGATGAGAACAAAGAATCGCAGCAAAAGGAGTTCTGGTAGCTGCGGGGCAAGAGTGTGCTGGAAGCTGTCGGAATGCAGATTCCTGAAAAACAAATGCAGAAACAAGAGAAAGCCTCGACACAAACTGGAAGTGAAATTGGGAGGGAATGCAGAACGGAAGAACAGTGTGTGCTCAGAAACCGAGGCAAAATACAGGTGCGGAAAGGGCCAATGTCCCCAAGCAACAATCTCTACACAGTGGTCTGTGCCCTCCCTCTCCCGTAAGCAAAAGTTGCAGCTTCCTCCAGTGTAAGTGCAACTTACACTGGGGCAAGACTCTTTCAGGTGGAAGAACTTACTCCAGCCTGAGCTACGACACTGACCAGCGATGGCTGAATGAGCCCATGACGTGAACCAATCCATTCCGTCCACAACGCACATTCTGGCAGACAGAATCGTTACTGATTGAACTGTTCTGGACGACTACTGGAAGGCATTACGTTTCCCACTGGACGCTCCGTTGCCAAGGGTTAGAAGCGAGGGTGATGAGGACTAAGAGAATATGAAATGGGTGCAGTGTTATCTAAGCTGAGTGAGTGTGAGCTAGCTCACGGTTTTTTAGCCCCCGGCTCACACATTTTTGTCTTAGTTCAGGAAGGAGGGCTCCAGAGCAAACTAATGTATGCAGCGGCAAAATCGCTCGCTCACAACTTTAATGCCAGTAGCTCACAAAGTAGAATCTTTGCTCACAAGACTCCACAGCTTAGTGGGAGCATTGAATGGGTGCCGTTGTTATCATACTCAGAACCTTCTGAAAAGGGTGCATTTGGGAAACAATCTAAAGAGAGGCAGATAACCTCCTAAAACACCTTGTTTAAACTGATGTTCATCTTCTTTGGAAATCAATACATCCCCAGACTCGGTCTGTATTTTCGTTTTTCTATGCCACGATCTTATTAATTTTGGTTTCGTAAAGGTTGATGGTGCCGTACAATGTGTGTTTGTGCATTCCTACAGGAATTGTTATAACGTTGGGGAGGGGGGGGATGAAGGATCACAGTCCGCCGAGGCCTTTTGATTTGCCATTTCTTATTCATTATTAAGATCATCTTGTAAACAGCGAATCATCTTTCCTTTACGCTTTCTGTCGGCTATTGAAAACTCATTGGATTCCCGCCCTGACCTGGATAGCCCAGGCGAGCCCGATCTCATCAGATCTCGGAAGCTAAGCAGGGCCGACCCTGGCTGGCGAGTACTGGGATGGGAGACGTCCAGAGAATGCCAGGGAAGCAGAGGCAGGCTACCATGCCACTTCTCTGAACGTCCTCCTTGCCCCAGGAGTTGCCAAATGAGAGAATAGACGGCGTCTTGTGCTGCTTATCAAAACAACTTCTCTTGAGCATTGGTAACCAGGGCTCTTTTTGTAGCAGGAACTCCTCTGCATATTAGGCGACACGCCCCTAATGTAACCAATCCTCCAAGAGCTTACAGAGCTCTTCTTACAGGGGCTACTGTAAGCTCTTGGAGGATGGGCTACATTAGGGGTGTGTCGCCCAGGGCTCTTTATGTAGCAGGAACTCCTCTGCATATCAGGCGACACGCCCCTAATGTAGCCAATCCTCCAAGAGCTGACAGAGCTCTTCTTACAGGGCCTACTGTAAGCTCTGGGAGGACTGGCTACATGAGGGGTGTGTCGCCCAGGGCTCTTCTTGTAGCAGGAACTCCTTTGCATATTAGGCGACATGCCCCTAATGTAGCCAATCCTCCAAGAGCTTACAGAGCTCTTCTTACGGGGGCTACTGTAAGCTCTTGGAGGATTGCCTACATTAGGGGTGTGTCGCCCAGGGCTCTTTCTGTAGCAGGAACTCCTTTGCATATTAGGCGACACCCCCCCCTAATTTAGCCAATCCTCCAAGAGCTTACAGAGCTCTTCTTACAGGGGCTACTGTAAGCTCTTGGAGGATTGGCTACATTAGGGGTGTGTCACCTAATATGCAGAGGAGTTCCTGCTACAATACTGATTACTCACGACCTGGAAGAAGGCTACTGAAACATGCAGAAAAACTGTACGCATGTTGGTCGCTGATAGCATCTGCATTGTAACTGGACTACACTGTCCATGGTTAAATATTGGGAGCAACTTCAAAAAAAAACCCACCCTTTTTGGCTACTTTTACAAGCTTTGAAATAGGTGTTAACCATTTATTGTTCCTTCCTTGTGAAACGCTGTATTTGTGAACAACTAGAGACTCATACCTTTAAATTATTGTAAAATTAGATTGTGGGAATTTCATATGCTATATGATAGTAAATGATAATCAGTAAGCAATAAATATTGTACATGGTGTTACTTTGTTACTTGAATTCTTGCCACACCGCGCATTCCCGATTTCGCCTGTCTTCCTGAACCAGACAGCTACGATTCAAGTGACTAACGACGCTCAAGTTGATGTCAAATCCTGACAAAACAGGGTTGATGCCGGTCTGGTCTTGGAGGGTATTGTAATATCCATTTGATGGGGTTTGGTTAGCCCCTCTCTGAGTCAACAAGGAGGCTGGTGGAGGCGGTAGAGGCTGGTGGAGGCCGTGGCTCAGTAGTAGAGCATCTGCCTGGCATGCAGAAGGTCCCAGGTTCTATCCCCGGCATCTCTAGTTGAAAGTACCAAATAGCAGGTGATGTGAAAAGACCTCCGCCTGAGACCCTGGGGAGCCACTGCCAGTCTGAGTAGACAATACTGACTTGGATGGACTCAGGGTCTGATTCAGTAGAAGGCAGCTTCACGTGTTTAGGTGTTTACATTGGATCCTATGTTCTTGCTAGAGAAACTGGTACGTTCAGCTTTGGAAAGCTGAAAACGTTGGAGAAGCTGGTACGTTCAGCTGTGGAAAGCACCTTCTGTATTAATCTACCGTGAGTAGCGGCTCCCTACTTTGATTGATCCACACCACGGTGACCCCCAAGACTAGACTACGGCAATATGCTCTACGTGGGGCTGCCCTTGAAAACTGTCCAGAAACTTCAGCCGACAAAAGAAGAGCAGTCACTTGCTTTCTGTGAGAAGCTCAGCATTACACACATTACCCTTGTGCTACGAGCACTTTACTGGCTGCCTATTAGTTTCCAGATTCAGTTCAAGGCGTGGGTTTCTGCCAGTTAAGTCTTCCATGGCCAGTGGCACCTCCAGGGTTTCTGCGCCCTAGGCGAGGCTGTCTTGTGGCGCAGATGCCAACCTCCCGGTGGGGCCTGGAGACCTCTGGAGCCAGCCACCCTTTTGCTACCATCGCCACCACCTCCTCCCCCCCCCCCTGCACCTGTCAGACCCAGCGAGCACGCCCCACATGTTCCTGCAGCGCCCTCCAAGATGGAAGAGAGATTTCTCTCGTGCTCCGCTTCCGAAGGCAGTTTGGGAGGGAGGTGGGGGGGGATCCTGTCTCCAGGCGGGGGATGCTCACCGGATACCTCTCCCCAATTAGCGAAGTGCTGACACTTGGAGAGCTGCTCGCGGGCTTTTGGCGGGGGGGGAGGCACAGCTCGGCGCCCCATCCAGGGCCCAGCACTCTAGGCAAATGCCTAGTTCGCCTAGTGGGTGAGCCGGCCCTGGGCACCTCACACGACTGCGGGGGCCACCTCTTCCCCTGTGCACCACTGAGACAGCTCCACTCAGCCACACGGAGACTTCTGAACATTCCACCGTCCGAACACGAGAAGGTGGTGTCTGCTTGCACCAGAGGTGTCTTCTGCAGTGGCCCCAACTTAGTGGGATGGGCATCCTGATCATATCCAGAAGGCTTCCCAGGCTTTAGGTTGTTCAGAAGCTATGAAGAGCAAAACTATTCAGACAGGTGTTTCTGGGAAGCAGAGGGCTGGCCACAGCTGCTGTCTTGGAATGTGGCTTAAAAAGCGGCAGAGAACAAATTTAATTGTCGTATGGCATTGTGTATAGTGTAGCCAGGAGATCCTAAGATTGCCTGGCAGCCTGAAGTTCTAGCTCTTTTAGCGGCGAGCTAGACTTATTTTGGGGCCGAGAGAGCTCTGAAAAGAGCCGTGACTGACCCAAGGTCACCCATCTGGCAGGAATCGTAAACCGGCATTCTGGCGCAAGGTAACGTAGGTACAACTCTTGCAGCGGCTGCCCTCAGAGTGGCAGGCCCTGTCAGTCAAACTCCTTCCATGTAGAGAGACATAATTTAATGTCTGAATCACTGCACTGCTTCCTTTTCTTGAAGAGGAGGAGCTGGGGAAGGGGTGGGTGGATAACGGTGGGGCTTAGTGCTTACAGTGTCGGACTAGGATCTGAGACACCTGGGTTCGAATCCCCACTCATTTCCTGGTTGACCTTGAGCCAGCTGCTTTCTCTCCACCTAACCTACCTCACAGGGGGGTTGCGGGGCTAAAATGGAGGAAAGAAGGATTGCTGTAAGCCACTTTGGTGGCTTAACGTGTACTATTGTGCTGTTCATTTTATAAGGACGTCTGTTCCTTACACCACCCCAATTTGATCCAATTTTCCAGGTAGATCTGACAATACGTCCCCATGTCCTTTCAGACCACTCTAAGGAAATGACCTTTAAGGTGGCCAGATTTTATGCTTTGGCTTGTTTATCAGAGAACCACCTGCTTAAATCTTTTTAACAACAACACATGTAACACAGAATTTCGTTTATAACGGGGTTATGGTTTCGTGGTACGTGCATACTTCCCTTTTTATGCATCGCTGATACATTTTGATCTATGACTGTCATAAAATTAAGTAAAAGTAAGCCACTTTCACCCTGACCTGGATGTCCCAGGCTAGCTCGAGCTCGTCAGATCTGGGAAGCTAAGCAGGGTCGGTCCTGGTTAGTACTTGGATGGGAGACCACCAAGGAAGACCAGGGTTGCTACGCAGAGGAAGGCAATGGCAAACCAGCACTGCTCATTAGAGACTGGAAGATAAGCAGGGTCGGTCCTGGTTAGTACTTGGATGGGGGACCACCAAGGAAGACCAGGGTTGCTACGCAGAGGGAGGCAATGGCAAACCACCCCTGCTCATCAGACCTCGGAAGCTAAACAGGGCCGATCCTGGCAAGAACTTGGATGGGAGACCACCAAGGAAGACCAGGGTTGCTACGCAGAGGCAGGCAATGGCAAACCCACCTCTGAACATCTCTTGCTTTGAAAATCCTACGGGGACACCGTAAATCAGCTGTGGCTTGATGGGCGGGGGGAGGGAAACAGACGCTTTGGGTCCCCACTGGGGAGAAACGGTGAAGTAGAGGTAAATAAATAAATAGGGCAAATTATAAACTGCCTCTGCGGGTGCTGAACTACACAGAAAAAATGACAACTTGCTTAAGGCCATGCTGGTGAACTCACAGCTGAGCTGAGAACTACCAGCAAGTAGCTGTTGCTACACCAGGTTCAATACGTGGCTGGTCAATGGAAATTCATCTGCAGGAATTTCCGCGGCACCCAGTTCAGGAACGGCCAATTTGAAAATCCGGGTTATTTTTGTACTGCAGTCAAAATACTGATTTTAATTAAGATGAAAATTTTCAAATACTTATCCAGGATACTTAGAAGAGCAGGAACTAAACACCTAACTGAGCTCTGTAAGCAAAGTCAGCGTTAAATGTCAGTCGCCAGTGACTATATGCATGGATGCAGAGAAAGGAAGGCATCTGAAAAATACTCAGCCTTTCTGAAGTCATAATTATGTTTAACTGCAACCTATTAGCACCACGGTTAGCACTGCAACCTATTAGCACCACGGTTCCCTCTAAGCTGTGTGCGTGAACGGCTGCTCATTGACACAGGAAGCCCCGCTCAGTAGCAGTCTGGAGCCGCACAGGGTCTTGCATTGCCCGTTGCCCATGCTAGAATTACAGTAGTTCTATTCTGCTCAGCATGTGAACTGCTCCGCTCAGTAGTGTGTGTGTGTGGGGGGGAAATAGGCAGAACACTGCCAGCAATCAGATCTCTTCCCACCCCTATCTGACTCTGAGCAACGGATTGAGCTCTTGGCCCCCAAACGCAAGCGACATGGAAGCAGAAAGGTGATTCAATCAGATAGCTCTTCATTATCGCTGGATTTTTCTACATCACCATCCCTGGAGTCTTCACTCTCGTGCTCATCTTGTTCGTAATGATCTGAGTTGGCCTCAGACTTCTCCTCTTCCTCCTCCTCTGCTTTTTCACAGGACTGGCTGGACTGGACTGCTGATTTCTCTTCCTCTCCGTCAGAGTCTCCTTTTTGTGATGCAATTTCATTGTCGCTATGGGGGGGGGAGAAAGAAGGTTCATGCTAGGATCCTCTCGAAGCCGATATATTTTTAAAAAAGAACAGGCACCCTACTGCGTACCCAAGTTATGAAAAAATTAATCGTATGCAGGGGTCATTTCCTGCAGGAGCACACAGGAGTGGAACTCCGGCAGTAAAGAGCCCAGGGGGCGGGCACATGCAACAAGCCCCACCCCCTGCTCCCAGCAGCCCTTAGTCAGAGCAAGAAGCAGCCAGGTAAGTTGCAGAGCTCCCCCCGGCCCCCTGGTCCAAAATAGTCCAGTGGCACCTTTAAGACCAAGTTTTATTCAGGTACAAGCTCTCCCTCCTCTGTGAGGACAGATCTGCATGTTCCCCTCCCCCAATAGCTAGCAATTCAAAACAGTCCAATGGAGCCTGAGCGGTGGGTGTTGCCTTCTGACACACTTCCAGTGATGTCAGGGGGTGTGGCATACGCTAATGAGTTATGCTAATGAGCTCCTGCACCTCTTTTTCTACGAAATGACCCCTGATCGTATGTAAAGTTGCCAGGTGTACTTACCCAGCCAGTGGGGGGGGGAGCCTTCCGGGAGTGGGGTGGGTGGGGCGACATAAAACCGTAGAGTTTTGACCAGACTGCTAGAGCATCGCTGTGCAACACACCCGTGATAATGTCACTTCCGTGTGACGCCATCATGCTGACATTGCCGTGAAAGGGGGTTGTTTGGAGGTGGGGCTTCCCCGCCGTCCAGCTGGCTCATGGCAGATTGGAGCCCCCGAAATCAGGGGAACCCCCACCCTGAAAGGGGATCTGGCAACCCTAATCGTACCACAGACCACAGGAACTCCTGCCAGACTCAAAAACCAACGTGTGGTACCACACTGACCGATTTCCCACAAGCGCTGCTCCACGCTCGCTCTTCCCTTTTGCCCCAATGGCATGTGTCAATTTCACACACGCTGCTGTGCGGCCGCATTTTGCCCCGCAGCTTCGTGTGATTTTCCCCGTGTCTACTCAATCCTGTTTTTTGAGCAAAATGCAGGCCGCACAGCAGCTTGTGTGAAATTGACACATACCATTGGGGCAAAAGGGAAGAGCGAGCGTGGAGCAGCGCTTGTGGGAAATCAGCTACTGTTGATCAGTGTTCCCTCTAAGCTGAGTCAGTGTGAGCTGGCTCACAGCAAGCGCTGCTCCGCGCTCACTCCTCCCTTTTGCCCCGATGGGACGTGTCAATTTCACACACGCTGCTGTGCGGCCGCATTTTGCCCCGCAGCTTCGTGTGATTTTCCCCGTGTCTACTCAATCCTGTTTTTTGAGCAAAATGCAGGCCGCACAGCAGCTTGTGTGAAATTGACACATACCATTGGGGCAAAAGGGAAGAGCGAGCGTGGAGCAGCGCTTTTGGGAAATCAGCCACTGTTTGATCTAAACTAAGAAACAGAGCGCCTACTACAATATACAATTCGTTCCTACAGCTGATTCTTCTGTCCACATGCCCATATAGGGCAATCACTCAATTAGCACCAATTATTTCTAGCTGAGCGTAGCAACCACAAATGGACATAAACCTGACATCAAAAACCACAACACACAACTACCCGTGGGAGAACATTCTAATCTTCCAGGTCATTCCACGGCTGACCTAACAGTGGCAGTCCTCAAACAGAGAGGCATCAAGGGGTGATTATAATGTGAGACTGCTGAACTTGAGTTCATTCACAGATTCAGAACAATGGACTCCCCCCAGGACTGAATAGGGACAGGTGCTGGTGCTAACTTTCTGCCCTTGTGTGTTACTCCCTTAGTTCAATCAAGCAGATTACATGTCACATTGTACCTCTGCATCCTGACTCCGTTCTTTACAACATCCCTCCCACCTTCAGACTGGGATATAAGGACTCAGGCACCTCCATTCTGGCTTGTATCTGATGAAAGAAGGCTTGATTCTCGAAAGCTCATCTCACAAAATCTTGTTGGTCTCTAAGGTGCTACTAGATTCAAATCTAAGCTGCACTACAGCTGTATTAGTTTCCCAGCTTAAAACCTCTAGGAAAAGCCACCGGGAAAGGGTTACCTTCTTCCTTCCTCGGCTCCCGAATTTTCAGAGCCATCGCTGGAAGCGTACTGTGCGCGCAGTGATTTAGCGGTTCGGCCTTTCTTCGAAACAAACTCTTCACACAGCCCTAACTCCCGAAGCGTATCGGAGTAATGCTTTTCCGCCGCCATCCGGGCATTTTTCTATATCAAATGTGGGGAAGAAGAAGAAGAATACATTAAGATATTACGAAGTTTAAAGAAACAGCCACATCTCTTGCCATTTTTTGCACAGGTATGTATACCTTCATTGCTAAATGTAACTTAATTTAAAGGGCCTTTATGCCAGAACATATCAAAAACCCCGTGGACTATAGTGGTGGTGGAAAGGGCCATCAAGTCACAGCAGACTGGTGGCGACCCTGTAGCGTTTACAAGGCAAGAGGAGTTCAGAAAATGGCTTGCCAACACTAGAATTCCTTGGTGGTCTCCCATCAAAGTACTAACCATGGGTTGACCCTGCTTAGCTTCTGAGATCTGAGGAGACTGGGCTACTCTCGGCCATCCAGATCAGGGCAGAAACGAGCAGAGGTGGTTTGCCACTGCCTGCCTCTGTGTAGCAACCCTGGACTTACTCAGTGGTCTCCCCGTCCAAATACTAAGCACTGCTGTGCATGTGAGTGGCCGTTCATTGACACAGGAAGCCCCGCTCAGCAGCAGTCTGGAGCCATGGGGGGCGGGTGTCTTACACTGCCCGTTGCCCATTTTAGGATTACAGCAGTTACATTCTGTTCAGGATGTGAACTGCTGCGCTCAGGGGGGGGGGCGGGAATATTAGAAGGGACACTGCTAAACAGGGCCAACCCTGCTTAGCTTCAGGGTGTTATGGGATTAGACTAGCCTGGGCCATCCAGGTCAGGGCAGAGGGAGTTTTGCCATTGCCTGCCTCTCCATAGTGACCCTGGACTTCCTTGGTGGTCTCCCATCCAAACACTGACCAGGGCTGACGCTGCTTAGCTTCTGAGATCTGACGAGATCAGGGTAGCCTGGGCTATCCAGGTCAGGGCTTTAAGTGTAGTCAAGTTAGGACTGACTTACGGCGACCCCCTTATGGGGTTCTCAAGGCCAGAGATGTTCAGAGGTGATTTGCTATTGCCTGCCTCTGCACAGTAACCCTGGACTTCGTTGGCGGTCTCCCGTCCAAGTCAGGATGCGGGCCGTATTCAGGCCTCCCTGATTTCAAACGGTGCAACCCGGCGGACTACTATCATTCAGCCTCGACTTTGCACAGCGACATTCTCAATCTGAAATATCACAAGCTTGTGCGCTTCTGATATTTCAGATATTGTACGCGTGACGAATTTTGTACACGTGACGAATTTTCAGTCCCCGTTCGACTCAATCGCACTCTCTGCTCCTCTCGCCAAGATTTGAGCAGCTGGGCAGTGCAGAGCAAAGACAATACAGCTGTGGAAAGGGGACCACTACACGCACCACCCTAAGTGGACAGGCAGCGATCGATCGTGGTTGCTGAAGGAACTGCTGATAAAGGAAACGACTCCTGCTGGGGTGATGCGGTAGAAGTCTGGTGACTGGGAAGGAGGATTACCAGAGGGATGCTAGGGGAGGGTTGGGAGCGTGAGGACACAGGTAATTTGCCTTATTATTCCGGGATGTCAGAGCAAAAGCGAAAGCAGTTCCCCAAAGTAAGGAGACAAACATAGCAGAGAGATAGGACAAAGTCAGAGTCCAGCGGCACCTTTAAGACCAACAAAGTTTTATTCAAGGTGTGAGCTTTCGTGTGCATGCACGCTTCCTCAGATACAGTGAAATGGAATTACAGATCGTAGTTGTATATATAGGTGGTGGCGTGTTAAATTAGCATGCAGAAGAGTGGAGTGTTTTCGACCAGATAAAAAGAATGACAAGCTTGGTTTCTGCTAACCAGATGATAACCAGAAACCAAGCGTGTCATTCTTTTTATCTGTTAAAGAAAAACACTTCACTCTTCTGCATGCTAATTTAACAAGCCACCACATATATATACAACTACGGTCGGTAATTCCATTTCACCATATCTGAGGAAGTGTGCGTGGACGCAAAAACGCCTTGAATAAAACTTTGTTGGTCTTCAAGGTGCCACTGGATCCTAACTTTGTTCTACTGCTTTGGACCAACATGGCTGCCTACTTTTATGTAGCAAAGAGATGAGAGAGCGAGATGAGAGAGAGAGAAAGAGGGAGAGAGAAAGAGGGGGAGAGAACAATAACCTGCGTAGCTCTTTCCAACAACAGGGGTCTCTTCTCCACCCTTTCTTCCATTTCTTCCAGTTCCTGGAGATATTCCTTCATTCTCTGCTTTTCGTGTCTCCTGTTTTTTTTTAATATACCGTGACATGGAACAGCATGGGATTTAAAACTGTGAGATTTATGGAACAAAGAAAAACATAATGGGAGTAGCACGACTGCTCTAAGGTCACAAACCAGAATCACCAGCTCTAGTGCACTTAGGGTTGCCAATCTCCAGGTAACACATACAAAAATATATATCACGGTGTACAATAAATATATGTTTATGGTAAAACAATTTCATGCTTTATTCTTTTTCTTTTTATATTTTTTCAATAGGTAAAGGTAAAGGGGTTCCCCTTGCTCGAAAGCCAGTCGAATCCGACTCTAGGGTTGCGGTGCTAATCTCCATTTCCAAGCTGAAGAGCCAGCGCTGTCCGAAGACGTTTCTGTGGTCATGTGGCCGACGTGACTAAACACCAAGGTGCACGGAACACTGTTGTCTAAATATTGGCTATCAAATATTATCAAAAATATGTTTCACCCAAACAATACATCAAGAAAAATATGTTTCACCCAAACAATACATCAAGAAAATTATGTTTCACCCAAACAACACATCGAGTGCAGGTTTACATTCAGGCAGCACCTTGTCATTAACACGATCACTAGTCCCACGGGACTCTAGTAATTTACCCATTTCGAATTAATCTTTTTCAAGGACCGTGATGTTTATATAAAAGTACATAAGGCGCAATAGTTTTTCTTTGTGAGCACAAAAGCTCTTAAGATAGCAGCATTTTCTAGGGTCCCATCAGAACTGAAATAAACAAAAATATGAATACATCAATGTAATTTCATTCCACCTTATTTATAATCATTAAAATAGCGAAAAGAGCTCACTTACTTCAGCTATTACAACTGATATCCAGAATATCGCTATCCAGGAGATAGATATCAGTTCCCCTGGAGAAAATGGCTGCTTTGGAAGCAGAGCTCTTTTTGTAGAAAAAGCCCAGCAGGAACTCATTAGCATAATAGGCCACACCCAACAGCAGGAACTCATTAGCCTATTAGGCCACACCCCTGACAGGACAGCATATTAACATATTAGACCGCACCCCCATGTTACCAGAAGTATGGTCATCCAGCCACACCCACCTTTTGCTTCTTATTCTGTTTACCTTGCTGGTTGTCAAAACCCAGGGCTTTTTTTTTGTAGCAGGAACTCCTTTGCACGTTAGGCCACACACCCCTAATGTAGCCAATCCTAATGAGTGTCTGCTGTTGGGTGTGGCCTCTTATGCTAATGAGTTCCTGCTGGGCGTGGCCAACTCCGGAGCCAGCCGGAACTCCGTTCCTGTGCGTTCCTGCCCAAAAATAGCCCTGGGAAGGTGGACTCCCCTCCCCAAACCCCGCCTTCCTCAGGCTCCACTCCCAAAATCTCCAGCTATTTCCCAGACTGGAGCTGGCAACCCCAACTGCACTGGAGGGTCAGGGCTTAGGGGAGAAGTTATGGAGTACCTGAACGTTTTTAACTTTGATTTGTACAACTGGGCCAGGCTCTGATGAGGATCGTTCGCCTCGGCCCGAGTGGTGATAAGTCTCTGCAGTTTCCTCGCTCGTTGTTTTCGTTTCGCTCTGATCTTTCTCTGCGCTTCTTCCTGCCTTCTTTTTTCCTCAAGTGAATCCCTGAAAGAAGGGGAAATACAGGTCACACCATGAACCACACTTCGCGGAAGGGATGTAATCCAACCAAGGTTTGTTCTTACAGCGGTGAACAGGCAGCTGGTCTCGGCGAGCCAGTTGGAATTCACGCGGGACGACCGACCCAGTCCACACCCAGCAAACAACTCACCTTATAGCTTGTAATCGTTTTCTCGTCGATTCTGTGATCCTTGGGGATGTCGGCTCTTCATCGTCCACAGGCAAAGAAGCTGTAGTCGTAGACCTCATGTGAGGCGGACATCTGGGGGAGGCATAGGGCCAACGGGTTTCGTTTAACTTTTCTTCATCGTTCTGAATATCCTCCAGAATTTTCCCTCTTTTGGATGGGATGTTTGGCGTGCGGAGATGGAAGGGTTCACAGACGGTGACAGCTTTCACGTTCATCTGTCTCTGAAGCTGCTTCTGAAATTTTCGATGCAACATCTCGAAATCCGGGACCTTCGCCGTGGTCCTTGGTTTCGAGCCAGACGTTTTGCTCGCCTCCAGACACTTCGGCGAGCTGTGCTTATTGCCCAGTCTGCTGTTAGGGAGGGATGAGTTGTGGAGAAGCTCTTCTGATCTCATCTGAATCCTAATTTCTCGGTAGAGCTCTTCCTCCTTGAGCCTCTCGCTGATTTCCGGGCTGTAAATGAATTTAGGAACTGGCTTGGCTTTGAACTTTTTGGCTTTCTTGTCCAGTGTGGAAAGATCCCTCAGCTGCATTTTCCTCATTTCGTTCTTTTGGGCCTCTCTTTCGATAAAACTAAATGGCTTTTGAGAGGCCAGAAGGATCTCCCGCCTCCTGTCTTTGACGAACTTTCGGCGCTCTTCGTTTCTCTTCATGATGTCGTGATAGAGCGGGACGAAGACGGAAGCAGGCACGGGGTTCGCACGGAATTGCTTCTGACACTCTGCCTCCTCTTCCAATTGCTTCTTGAGCAAATTGTTCTCCATCTCAATCCGTGCCTTGGATTTGACGTTCTGTTCTTTCTTCTTAGCTTCTCGGATGGTCATCTGGAAAGGCTCCGGCACAGTGAGCTTTGGAGACCACGCTTTCTTCTTCCTCCTGCTCTTCTTCAAAGTCCAACACTTGAAGGGGCCACTGGCGGTCCAGCGGGGGAAACTCTCTGAAGAAAGCTCCCCCCATCTGTTTCCGAACTTCAGGGACCCTGCTTCACTATGATTCTTTTCTAATTCCAGCTCTACGTCAGAGACGACAGAAAAATCAGAGTCGGAGCAATAGTTTAAATCAGACTCGGAAAACGATTTACGTATACTCCGGGATTGAAGGGAGCTCTTCTCCCACCTCGATCTGAAAGGCAATTAAAAAAAGGTAAAGTTTACTTTTGGGGAAACAGTGACAAACAACTTATGGCAACAAGAGGCTTTCAAGGCAAGTGAGAAGCTTCCTCTGCATAGACTTGCTTGGTGGGCTCCCATCCAAGTACCCACCTTGCTTGGTGGTCTCCCATCCAAGTACCCATCAAATCACAGCTGATTTATGATTGACCCCAGCAAGCGGCTTTCAAGGCAAATGAGAAGCAGAGACAGTTTGCCATGCCTTTCTCATCAGAGCCTTCCTTGGTTGCTTCCCATCCAAGTATCGACTTATGGTGACCCCAGCAAGGGGCTTTCAAGGCAAGTGAGAAGCAGAGGTGGTTGGCTAGTGCCTTCCTCTGCAAAGCCTTCCTTGGTGGTCTCCCTTCCAAGTACCCACCCAGCTTAGCTTCCGAGATCTGAAAAGATTAAGCTATACAATGCTGCCTTTGCTCTCAACACATAGGAAAGGACTTTCTGCCTTGGTCTAGCAGGATCATCAAGCCCACAGAATCCTGCTGGTATACTAGGCTGGTCCTCCTAGGATCTGGGAAACCCAAAGTGAAACTTTGAACGTATGTGTGCAACATGTCTTCTGAAAAAAATCTTAGACATATATGTGTACCATGTCAAAGGACGAAAGACAGGCCACAACAAAATGCAAAACAGAATACAAGTCAAACAAGGTTGCTGGACATCATACATAACGACTCAAAGAAAAATTCAGGTGTCGAGATGACCTTTTTTCCCTCTGTGCTTCTGGCAAGCAATGATTTTAACGACAGGTTACATAGGGTTCTTTTTGTAGCAGGGACTCCTCTGCATATTAGGCGACACACCCCCAATGTAGCCAATCCTCCAAGAGCTTACAGACCTCTTCTTACAGGGGCTACTGTGAGCTCTTGGAGGATTGGCTACATTAGGGGTGTGTCACCTAATATGCAAAGGAGTTCCTGCTACAAAAAGAGCCCTATATATCTTTCTGTGGATGGTATGACTTTTCAGGAAACTAACGTGTCTCCCAGGTAAGCTCACGTTTCCAGTCTCCATCAGAGTCAAGGAGAAGCGTTTTCATATTGGAGCTCCCAAGCATCATGAAAACTCACACCAATTCCCATACATGAGGAGCCAAGCTGCTTCGAACTCAGAAGGGTTGGCAGTTCCGCTTTATAAGGTTCCCTTCTGTTATAATATCGTATTTGACTTTGATATAATTATCAGACAAATAAGATTGCACAAGTCTCTCTTTATATACAATTGTTAGAAACTGATTTTTCACAGTGTATTTGGCTTTCTTGGTATCAGCAGCGCTGCGTTCCCTGATTGACTTAAATCTCCAGGAGGTGGCTGGAAGATCTCCCACTATTACAACTGACCTCCCAGCCTGCAGTTCAGCGTCTTAACCACTTGAGCCACCACAGCTCCAGATGCCCATAGAACAATACAAAACAAGAGAGACTAGATTTAAAGCCATAAGATCATTTAGTGTCTGGTCAAGTTCAAGTTAGCCTTTATTGGCATAAAATAACAGTACAAGTTATACAATTTTAGGAAACAGTTAAAACACCTATGAAAATCTATGACTCGATATTGTGCAATTAGGAGCTGATAAGGATGTAGGAACCTTCGGTGCAGCTTTAAAGCGAAAC